AGAAGTAAATTAATTTATTACTTGTAGTTTCATTACATGAGTTATTTTAAAATTAGAAATGGCACAACCCAGAACATATAAACCGGTTCTCTGTTAAAAATCTCATGAATTGAAACTTAGTTGTAAAGGGAATTAACATTGCTGATTATGGAAAGAATTAAAGGATGTCATCACCTCTTTTGTTACATCACAGGTGGCAAAATTATTGCTGGTAAGCAAATTACATTTTTGTGGCATTTTCTAAATGTTTTAACTGATTATAAGAGAACATTCGATGATTAAATGGAGATTAATTTTGCTAAATGATTATTAACATGAAATAGTTAGATACATAATTATATTTTCTAATGTTATTGTGTGTTTACAGGTTGGTGTGACCTCAGTGGCAAATCATGCTCAGCTGCAGTATCAAAAGCAGATAAGATGCAAAGAGAGTAACTTCTCAGCTCACCTGAAAAGAAGCACAAAAGAATGTTATCTGTCACAAATTAACACATTTGCTAAGGATGCTATAGCAAACAAAATCTCCAAGAGTTTAAAATTAGGTTATGCATAGAAATGACTAATAGTTTAATTATTGTTGATATTATTTAATATTTTATGAAACCAAACTGTGTTGTCTGTTATTTTTTATATAATTATCACACTCTTTTTTTTCTCCGATTGTCAAACGCTTTAAGGATTACTAATTGAAAATTTCCTTATAGTAATTCTAAAAATTTCCTTGCTCTCCTCCTACAATTATAAAATTCTTATAAGTATAACATTAGTATGCTAAAGTGATTTATAGGTATTCTGTATTGCTCGTTTGTCTAATACAACTTACTTGACATGCATGCCTAATACAAAAGAGTTGAAATGTGATCTTCCGAGTATTACTGTATTTACTGTCTTATTTAATTTACCAGGGCTGAGAATTGCTAAGTCACTATAAAGCTTCATATATTAAACAATATTTTTATGTATATGGTATTTTTTAGGTTTCAATTGACTCAATAAAGTTTTTTACTTTGTTTTTTGTGTTTTTTATTCTATAAGTCTCTATGTAAAACATCTACACATTTATGTTAGTAGAAATAAGTCATCCAAAGTCTCTCTCAGGTACAAATGAACTCATACTATTACTCATTTTATTAAACTTCTTTCACTATTTTGTTTTTGATATGTTTCTACCATTATGAACACAAGAAATACTAATACATTGTCAGACTATCATTTTAAATGTGTAATTAACACAGTTTGTCAAGAGATTTTTCAGCAAAATGTATGCACAACCTTGTCCAAAGCTCCCCAGGACTTTCAAAAATCTGGGAAGTGCATGACATAGTGTTATTGAACACAATTAATATTTTGCACAAAGTGTGATGGATATACTCTTTAGGAAGCTTCGCTGATAACAAAAGAAAGCTTATAATTAAAAACAAATGTCTTTTTTGGCATGCTGACTTTATCCAATATTGATGGTGTAGCAATATGTACATTCAAAATATACATAAAATATTCCGAATTTCATGTTCTATTACCTTAAAAAGATTATTTTGTAGGAGATTTATTACAACAAATGTTTCAAGAAAATACTGCCTTGAAGTATGTGAATTTTTTTTATCATAACTTTGAAGTTCAGATTGCACACTGATAAGAATAAAATATATCTGTACTGCAAGTTCTATTTTTCTCAAGGAAATATATTTTAAAGCATTTTGCATTAGGCATTACTTTACAATTTAAGTATTTTGATAAAGACAGAGAGCTTAAATATGTCTCAAATTGTATGTATGATAATTACTTTATCTCTGAATAAGTGCAGCATTGTATCATTCTGTTAATCCGTTTAATAATGTATTTACTGGGAATATCTTTTTGTTCAGTAGTGGATTAAGATATACATCTTTCTGTTAAATATAATGATAAGTTTCTGTTTTTAACAAAATTTACTTCAATAGCTACAATATTCTTCTCAAGTCCTGTTTGTTGTTGTTGGGAAAATCAAATATTGTAACTTTCTCTGATTTATGATTACAGAAAGTGCAATTGCTTTTAACACTGAATTTCTGGTTTTGTAACTTCATCAGCTTTACGATATAGTGTTATTCAGAATGAATCTCTAGACCAGGTGGGCAGCAATTGGCACAGAAAAATGATCTCAAAAAAGGAATGCATAATTGTCTGCTGCTAGTGCAATATATTCTTCACAATCTCTATTGAACAAAACAATAAAAAACTGTTAGACAAGGAAGTGATGCCTAAAAACAATAGTAATAATGTTACATCAGATACCACAAATATGAAAGAACTCTATGATCGAATGGTGAAAGTTTCCACTCAAAGTCATTACTTCAGGACACTAGTATTTATTTACCATCTCGGATTGAAGTTCATTTTCACACTGAATCAATAATGGGATGAAATCTTTCTTGAAAAGAATATGGTTTTCCCCATGAGTAATGGCTAAAATCCTCTTTGCTTCTAGAAGTTCCTCCCATGCCTTTTGGACGTGTTGCTGATGAAGTAGAAGCTTTCCCAATTTCAAGTGAAATATTCCAGTTAGGGGATGAAATTCACCATAATACCTCCTAAGCAACAAAATCATTTTAGCATTTATGAGCAGTTAAATGCATTTATAATTCAGCATTGTAATGTGCCTAGAATTCAGTTATCGCACCTGTAGCCTTGTTTCACCTCAGCACCAAATTGACATGCTTGTTCCCATTGGCACATTTCAATACTGCTTTCAAATGCTAAATCCAGCATTTTCACATGATAAATATTCAAGGGGTGGAAGAGACCTTGCTGTTTCTTAAGACAAACTTTACACACATCTAAATCTAATAAATTGAGAAATATATATGAATGAAATAAAAAATTAATGACTTCCCCTACATCATGATATTACTTCAATGAGTGCCTATGCAACCCCACCCACACACATACCCACACACACACCATAACAAAGCACTCCAATATTAAAAATAATCACTTACTAAAATCCTCATATATTCATTCCATTTTTAGGGAGAGAGAAAAAAATAAAAAAATTGAACTTAAGCAATTAAGTAAATTAAGGTTTAAAAAGGATGTGTTAGGCTCTTTAATCATAACTTCAAAAGTACTTCTAATGTGTACAAATAGAATCAATATATGCTGATATATCAGTGACTACTCTTAAATTTGGAGTGGTATAGTAAGTGAACATTTTTTCTCACAAATTCAGTTTCAGTAAATTAAGTGTTTCTCTTTCTTCAGATATGCTCTTCAAATTGTGGAGTTTCGTTCAATATTACATTCAATTAATTTTAAAATTATTTTCTCCAAAATAAGGTTTAAAATTCATGGCGAGATTACTGCATACTTTTTTAATCAGACTTCTCAAACACAATTTGCAAACCAGATGCCACTTCAATGCTTTCTGCTACAGCAGTAAAAGAAGACAGTTCAAGTTGAGAAATGTAGTACCAAAGATTTGGAATAGAACAAAAAATGTAGAAGAAAATTGACTGTTACACTGAGCAATATTTGACTTTAGAAGAAATTGAATCTGGGACCTTCCAGATAAGTGCCATTTCCCACTGAGTTATGTAATCAACCAAAACTCTTGTAACAACTTATTGATTTCAAACAATCAAACAAGATAATTTAATGGAGTAAGGGACAGTATATGAATGAAATTAAGACACATTTTTACAAACCATAGTGCCAAAAGCTGTTAAAAGTGTAGTATATAAAGCTGTCAATACAGCATAAACATTGATGTCTTACCACCAAGAGCATCCTTCGAATGAACGTAAGGTCCCAGATTCAGTTCCTCGTAAAATCAAATATTGCTCTCTGTGATGATCCATTTTCAGTAATTATAATTCGCATATAAGAACATATCACAAATTTGCCAGCCTTAGGCGCAAATCTCTTTGCCAAATGATAGCTGAAATAATGTAACGTTTCTTCCATTTATCTTCCCCTTTCATCCATTGTATAATTAGAAATTCAAGTATTGCAGAACAGATTCTTTAACACGTATTACACTATGACTTTTTTTGTGTTTAATTTTCAATATTTCTTAAACAAAGATGACTTTGACTTTTTAAAGATGCAATATATGTGTTAAAAAGGAAATAAGATAAACTTGTGCTAAGGATACAAGCAATATCTTTCATCACTTCCAATTGTTGTTGAGTAAAATCCAATAATTCTTGGTATTGCTTCAAGGTTTCAGATTTAATATTATGACCACAAGAGGGGCAGACTCTATCACTATCTAAAGCCTAAACAAAAAAGCAGAATCACACTATAAAGTCTGTAAAAAATGTTTAAAAAATTAAATAAAATGAAAAGAAAGCATTTTACTACATGTCATTAATGCATCTTCGTTTAAAATTATATTACTTACAGACACAACAGGAACAGGTTTTATGCATGCAGAATCTGGGCACTGGACTGAATTCATAAGCAAGTGTTCTTCACTGTCTAAGCAACGTTTGCAGTCACAAAGAAAATAATACCCTGTTTGAAGCTCTGTTCGTCGAGCTGGGGCTGAATTTAGAAGATCAATGTAGGTAATCCTTACCTGTAATAAGAAAACATTTTTGGCAATCTGACAATTTATAAATTCTTCATAGCAATACATGAAGGAGCATACTGAGGTTCTTACAGAATGATTTGTGTCAATTAATAAACTTCGTGTTTAATAGAATTAACATTAAAACACTTCTGAATCGATGGTGTATGTCATGGACAATCTCAAGAATTAAAATAATAACAAAGCCCATGAAGTACTTGAAGGTTAAAATTATACGTGTCATCTTGTTGTTTTTTGTTTTGTTTTGTTTTTTTTCTCTTTTTCTTTTTCTTCTTCCATTTTTATTACTAGAATTATGAGGAGGACCTGTTCTTTGATACATATGTAAAGGAGGAAAAAGAATTGGAGCAGTTTCTAAGAAAACATTTTTTTTTTAATTTTAAAATTGCAAAATTATGCAAAAATACTCATTTGTTCGATTTGAACATTATCTTATTAAATGACCTGTTTTTGATTAACACATATATAGTAATTAGAACATATGCAATTGACACCAAAATAATTACGAATGCCTTTTGTCGTAAGATAACAGTTCTGACAGTGTTTCATTTCATCACCGACTTCTAACATCCACACTTCAGATATGATAAACACAGTTGCTTTTCAACAAAGAAAGCCTCCATGGTTTTTCTGAAGACATAAGATGATATAAACAAAAAAGGGGTACTCAAGTGCTACTCAGTCGATGCGGCATTGTGGCAAAATTTTTATTAAGCTTTGCGAATTGCTTGAAAAGAAATACATTAATACTCTGAGAATACACATGAGTAAAAAGTAAAAAAGCGAAATAGGAAAAATAGAATTAATATTGGCATTTTCAATTGGAAATTATAATTAAAATTATATTAAATATTTTTCAATTCATTCATTCATTTTTTATCATAGCCTGTACTTGGTGTGAAACTTGTATATATTTAAAGCAGAAATTATGCAAAAACTACTGGTTTTTTTTTTCCAAAAAACTTGTTAATAACCTTTTTTCAAGGGCTTTTTTGGACAATAGTTTTGTCTAAGGCGAAAATCTATCTTCAATTTTGTGGTTTTGAAATATTTTTGTCAATTTTGGTGGGGGAAAAAAGAGCAATACCTGGAAATGAGACTAGCGACATATTTCTTACTGTTCCTTATTACATATGTAAAGAAATATTTTTTAAAATTGAGCGGTTTTTGAGATTTTTTTGTTGTAAATTTCAATCGCCAAATACCCAAAAACTACTCCCTTTTTCAAAACATTGTACATTAACTTTTTTAGATAGCTAATTTTGTACAACAGGCTGTCTGCAACAAAAATCTCTATCTCCAATTTTGAAGTTTTAAATTCCCCCTCCCCCCATTTTCAAAAAAAATGCGATGTCAACGAAAATGAGACCTGCATTATTCTCTTAAACATCCTATTCAACAACAAAATTTAATTAAAAAAACTTGAGTATTTTTTTTTTTGAAAATGTTGAAAATGTCCCTGGAGCGTCACGTAAAGTACCCCCAAAATTAAAATATCGGTTTCAAATTCCTAGGCCCGCGACATCAGCTAGAATGATTGAGGAATATCAATTTTTGAGAAAATCAATTTTTGAGAAAATCGGCTGAACGGTATATGCGCTAGCGTTATGCACAGACGGACGGACGGGCAGACGCGTTTTGCCGTCAATAGATTTTTCGGTATAAAGGGCGCACAAAACATGGATTCTGGCTACTGCAAAGTGTTAGAGAATTTTTTTCTATATTTAACAACTTAATTTCTCAACTTTTTCCTTTCCAACCGCGCCCTTTCCAACCATGTCAGTAACGCGGCTCGTCCCAGATAGCCTAAACAACGGACTTTCTTACTCTTTCACGCCCGTGCCCTTCAGTAACGTAAAAATATTATCCTGAGATGTACCCGTATTTTTGTCTAGATTTCTTTTGTAAATATGTTTTTCTTGTAGTCTGTCTGCCTGGATTTTAAATTTTGTTTCTGGATGCCGTTCAGTCCGAACGCCGATATTTATTTTTGGTTAAAATTTCTTCTAAATTTTTCGGTGGACGCGGCCCAAAATTTGTAAATATTTAAATGTTCTTATAGGAACACCTAGTATTAAGTCAAATTTGTTTAATCAATGGTCATTTTTAATTGTGTATAGCCAATAATTTTTGAAGTCTGCTTTTTGGATACGATCTGATATTTGGTGTAATGCGTTCATCCTCTGAATTGTGATTATGTTTCAGCATTTATTGTGAGATACTCTGCACAAAGGCAGCCCTGTCTCTTATGTATTTATGCACTGGATCTAATAAAATTTTGATGTTCCAGAACAGTGTTAATTTTATATG